CAGAACTTTGCTACATTTTACCTGAAGAAAGAACCCTTATTTAATTAGGAAATCCATACAACTAATGGTAATCTTGTAGTTTAATTTTAAGAAAAAATATTACAAATTAAATTATACCTATAAAGAAATATAAAAATAAACTTTATTTTTTTGTACCTGCTAAAATTCTTCATTTTAAATCTTTTCTTCAACTACATATTTTTCAGTCCCTCTTAAATATGTTTTGTAATAGGTAGGTAATAATAGGTGCTTAATTTCATTTCAACAAATAGAACTGGCATACCTACCTATTTTTCTAATTTTTCCATCAAATTGAAAAACCTACTATTTACTTTCTTTTCTGTTATTATAATAGATATATAATTTTCTAATCACAGTTACTTATAAAACAATGAATAAAATATCGAATTAAAACTCTATGTTAAACTCAAAATGTAAATTATTTTGTATTTTGTTGGGAGACATTTTACTCAATTTGGTCGCTGCTTGGGCGATTCTCTTCTCAACATACTGGTCCGAGCTGCGATATGAGACGAAGTAAGGAAAAAATAAAAGTACAACTAAAATACAATAATTATAAATCAAAAACGGAATGAGCACAATTTAGTGTCATCTTTATTCGTTGGTTATCTAAAACTTTGACTTCAATGAATTCATAACAAAGTTTTGAAATGTTTTTCTTGAGACAAATTCAAATTTACCGCTAAAATGATATCTAGTTACTTTTTTAGTTATTTTTCCCTGTGTAAATAGGACTTTCCAATTCGCTCCTCTTAGTTTAAAAACAGAGTATAGACAGTGTTTACTACCAGTGTTTTGCTTTTTTATTAGGGATCAGAAACGACAGAGATGTACAGAAATTCAATTAAACCACTTAGTAGACTACATGTCTGATCATAAAAAATTTGCGACAGGAAAGTTTGTTGGCATACAAGGGAAAAAATGCAAGGGGAAATGTGGGTAAAATTATCAGATAACTTGAATGAAATGGGTCCCCAAAAAAGCGTTGAACAGTGGAAAACAATTGTTAAATTTTAAATTATCTTTTGTTTTCTGTTTAAGTTTGTTCCACTTTACTTTTGCCGTTTTATAATTGTCCGATAAATATTCACACAACTCTCGCATCAAATTCCAATAAAACAAAAAATCAGGATATGTGTACACTTCTAGCATACTTTTAATTTTAATAGGCACCTTATTTGGTGCTTATAAGAATAGACTACAGTATAGTCCTCATATGCAGACTATAAGGGGCGCTAGAAGCTTAATAGAATACGAAAAAGCTAGGACTCCACTTTGAAGTTAGGAACATATAAAGTTCAAGCCAAAATCCAACTTGTAGCCGGGCTATAAATTTAGTAGAATAACCCTGCTGGTCTAGTGATAAAACCCAATTGAAAGTAGAAACTTTGAAATCGTTGTTGATAGTCAAAAATAATTTAAATGCAAGCTGTATGGAATTCTATGGAAATATTCAGGAAAACGAATATTTATATTGAAAGCAATTCATTCTTCAGAAAAATATGTTTTTTGTTTTATTTTTTTTATATTGTAAAATGATATTTTAATTTTTCATATTTCTTGTTTAAATTAAACATTTTTTGAAATCTAAGTTTTTTATTTACTTAGGATTACCTATTTTTTTTTAATTTGTGTCATCGGCGTCGACTACTACGGCCATTAGCCTCGCGTTCTGTGTAAAATTCATATTGTCCTAGTTTCAGTTTAGAAAAAAATAGTCACCTTACATTAACACCATATACCTAGATTGCAATTTGCTGGGGACTTTTTCGCAAATTTCATTTTTAATATAAACACTATCACATACTAGGTATAAGAAATAAACAAATTTAAAGCTAAAAAGTAAGAAAAAACTCGAATTGTAATTGATACAAATTAAAATGTAAACAACAGGGGCTGGTAACTCAAATGGAAAAACATGATGACGGTAATTTAGTACCACTCCAATTAACTGGATGGCGCTCGTATCGAAATGTCATGTAAGTTGTCAGCTTGTCAACAAAACTTCATACTTGGAAAAATTAAAATGGCTGTCGCATTTGAAGGTGTATTGAATTTTGATTCATCTAGATTTATTTTTCAACACCTTCCAATTTTAAGCATGTTTTCAAGAGATGGGAACATCGATTTCAGCAACGAACAATGAAGCACTCCCAGATATTGGTAGTGATGCAATTTATACCACGTATTAAATATGCGGTCGTCATATTAAGGATAAACGTACAATTTGTAATAAGTGTCTTAAGAAAAATGCATCTTGTACTGGCATATCAATGGTAAGTAATATTTACAAACTTGTTTTTGATTCAGTGTTAAAATAATTGGTTTGTTATTTAAATTTCTTTTTGTTTTCAGTTTTTAAATGATCATTGTTATAAAGAAAATGTTGGCCCTTCAAAATACCCTGTAGATCGATGAAATATTTGAGCCTTAGCCATCAATATTAAAATTTGATTCAATGCCATTGACATCAAACAAGAAAACACCTCAAAATCTTCAAAGGTCCAAACGTGTGTCGAAAGTTAAATTCATTTATCACAGTGCTCAGATGATGAATAAGAATTTGATAACTACAGGTGCTGTACAAATAAATCAATAAAACCATATCGGATGAAGAAATGTTCCTCAACTTAACTAGTCAACTCAATAAGCATATGGCAAATTTTATCCACCCTCAAATTCGCCTTGATTGTAATTCCAAGTTGCAAAACTTTTATATTGGTCTTGAGCTTGTTACAGAAAACATTTTTGATAGGTTTGTTTTATAAATATTTAATTATTTAAATGGTATAAATGCATATTTGTTTGAGTACCTATTTATCCATGTTTAAATAGACAAATTATATGATGCGGCGTTAATTTACTGTAATAAAAAAAAATAAATAAAATAAATTGCATTTTATTTCAAGTTTGAAATTAATGCAAAAATATAATGAAGAAAATCAAACAAAAAAAAAATAAATTGGCAAAATATTTGACTAGTTTCAAATCACAAAACAGTCAATATGGTTGTTTTGTGATTTGAAACTAGTCAAATATTTTGCCAATTTATTTTTTTTTTGTTTGATTTTCTTAATTATATTTTTGCGCGACTAGCAGAAAGTTAAATTTCAAAAAGCCCGCGCTAAGCGGCCATATTGAATTTTAGTACCACTCCAATTTGATAGATGGCAGCACATCGATTCAGAATTTTACCATTGAGTTTCCCATCTATTCACATTAGTAATCTATGGTAAACAATGAACACGAACGCCAATGTTGCCAAATGCTGAACTGATTTTAAAACAAAATTAAAAAATGAACTGAAATTTAAAAAAAATCAATATAATAAATCGGTTTTATAAAAAAATCCTTAAGTACAGAGTATGATTACATATTACTATACAAAAATTTTGATTATTAAATAAAAGGTCTTATCCACTTCTTCAAGAGCTAAAATCCGACGACGTAGCGAAATTTTGCTACTTCTGGCAACACAACGATATCCTACTTATATGGACCTTCTACAAATTTCCTCCAGAGTAATCTATGCTCCAGGGTTGCGTTCCATAATGTATAAGGAGTAAGGGTATGGAGTATGTCAGATTACTTGTCTATTTAACTTGGAGCGAAACGGAGTAAATTTCTGTTTAGGAACGAAGTAGAGATACTTGACGTTTGACTTTGACAGTTTTTACAAATAAGCGCCGATTTGAATTTAAAAATTAATTTACAAATTGAAAAACGTTTTTAGTTTAATATGAATAATAATGTTATTTCAATTATTACTACTATACAGAACAAATTTCTAAATGATCAGAAAAACATCCTTTTGGTATGTATGTTATTATCTAGTTCATTCTGGTTATAATTTAATTCTACTATATAGTATGCAGAATCATTATTTGACGAGCACGAAGAGGAAAATGTGTTATTATTTCATAGTCGTACTGAAGAGACTCCTATTAGAATACCCGTTTATACGGAAAATGTGGTATTTCAATATAACTCGCAGCAGTTCCAAGAGCATTTTAGAATGTCACGAGAAACATTTGACAGAGTCTTAGGTATTATAACACCTTTATTACAAAATAGGCATGACAGTGGACGTCCAACAATTAATCCCACAAAACAGTTTTTATCAGTTTTGTGGCTTTTGGCAACTCCTGATTCATACAGGTAATTACAGCCTATAATTAAATAAAAACAATTTAGTATTTGTTTTTCAGAACATTTATTATTTAATAAATATTTACTAGTTAAAATAATATTTCTATGGCATGGTTCCACAAATAAAAAGGATATCATAGGAGCTTTGACTACTTAATTCCATAAACTATTTTGTAGGTCTGTAGGAGACCGGTTTGACATGGGAAAATCTTCTTTACACCATTCATTTATAAGAATCATACATGTATTAAATGAATTGGCCCCTCAAATTATTAAATGGCCACGAACCCCTCAGGAAGTTACTGAAGCAGTGGCTGGATTTAGAAGAAGCGGCCTTAACAATATTATAGGTGCCATAGATGCATCGTACATTCCTATTAAAGCACCCAAATATGACCCACAAACATATATATGCCGAAAACGTTTCCATGCTATTACAGTACAAGCAATATGTACTTACAATCTAAAATTCACAGACTGTTTTGCTGGCTATCCAGGATCTGTTAATGATTTAAGAGTTTTTTGGAATTCAACCATTTACAATTCAATTTTAAATAATCCTGAACAATATTTTCCAAATGATGAATTCATTATAGGTGACAAAGCATATCCTCTTAGAAGGTGGTGTATTACCCCTTACATAAATAGAGGTGACCTCACTCTAAGGCAAATTCATTTTAACACAAATCTGTCTAAAGTTAGACAGGCAATAGAAAGAGCTTTTGCCTTGTTAAAAGGAAGATTTAGACGTCTCAAATATCTCGATATGAACAGAACTGATCTCATCCCAGCAGCAATCTTAAGTTGTTGTGTTTTACATAACTTATGTTTACAAAATATTGATAATCAGTTAGAAAACTACATTGCTGAGGGTATGGTAGTTAATAACGAAGAAATTATTGAAGGACATGGTAATGAGCAAATTTTTTTTGATGAGGCTGGAATTCTAAGAAGAGATAGAATTGCATTATCTTTGTAATAATAAATAAAATTAGGTTTTGATTTTTTATTTCAAACTTTGAAAGATATTAAAAAAATTAGATAACCAAGAGACATAAAATAAAAGGAAAAATTCTAAACATTGAAACATAAAAAATTTTAAAAGTTATATAAACGGACTATTACATTTGATAATTATTGCAAAGACGCCCTTTTCTTAAAAATACAATTTTTACAAAACTTACATTTTAGTATTTAGGAAGGTGAGTATTTTTCAAATATACCACCGGAAACACCATAAATTTACGTTTTTGTAAAAATTTTACATATTAAAGGCTAATGAGGATCATTAAGTGATAATTTGTGTAAACTTATTCATTAGAATTATAGAGAGATATTGCAAACTTCTATAACGCCAGCCACTAATAGTGACTCGTAATTAGAGTCAAATAAATTCCATGTTAAAATCAGACTTATTGCAAACCTGAAATTTTGACATTAGCATCCTTGTCCATATACTTATTTCTAACCTCATTTTAATAACTTTAAATTATAGTTTATCTTTTTTGTTGTTTATAATAGTACATAATATTGAAATGGCATAAAAAATTATAATTTAAGGAGGTTTAGACAGCATGACAGATATTATTCTAAATTCTAATGAATACGTTTACACAAATGATCACTTAATAATCCTCATAAGCCTTTAATGTAAAATTTGTAAAAAAAACGTTAATTTATGGGGTTTCTGGTGGTATATTTGAAAAATACTCTCCTTCCTAAAGACTAAAATGTAAGTTCTGTAAAAAATATGTATTTTTAAGAAAAGGGCATCTACACAATAATTACCTTACATTTTGTCAATTAACTTGTTCATCGTTCTTTCATAAACGTCCGTTGCATTTTGTTGGGCCCTTAAAAACTCCACATGCCTTCTTTCCCTGCTTTCTTCACTTTTCTTGAGCATTTCCAATACCGTTAATTTTTTTGTTTTTTTCTCCTCTGGTGTATCAGACTCCCTTTTTATACCAACAGTGAAACTTCCTCTAACTACGTCTGCATTTATCTGAGACCCTAGAATACAAACATTGTTTAGATCGAAAAATAAATGTATACCTTGATAAAGTGATATCAAGTTATTATACATTACAAAACATTTACAAATACTTTTTCATTTTCAAAACACAAATTAAACATATGTGAACAAATTAATTTACCTAATGATGAAGACGCTACAGCTAAGGGTTGTACATTTGGTTTCCCCAAAAAAATCTCATCCATTTCATAAAGATATTTAAAATTTATAGGAGATGCTCCTGATGCCTTGCTCATATTGTCTTTGCATTTCATGTAAGTTTTTTTTAGGTGTTTAAACTTATTTTTACTCTGAGTTGGTGTAAATATAAAACCTTTTTCTATTAAACGATCGGAAATTAATTTCCAGGTTTGATCATTCCTAATCTTAGGATCTTTAAAACTAATTTCATTATCCTTATATAGTTGAATAATGTATTTTGTGGCTTCATCACACCAATAATTAACCTTTTCATTAGGCACAGATTCTTCTGTGTGGGAGGAAGCTGTACTTTCGTCTTCCTGTAAAGGCTTATTTGGTTCTATACCAAACATTTCGATATACTCGTCTGTGAGAGGGAGTTCAACCAAATCATCATCTAAAATTATAGAAACATATTAGGCATTGGTAAAATAAAGTATGTATGTAAAGTATCCTAAAATTATTTGTTTTGATTTACTTACCTTTGTTGTGTAGTATGATTTTGTTACTTTCTACTCTCAATACCGAATAAACATCCATGGTAGTTAACAATATACAAAAGAGGTAAAGGTAAAATTTGATTTCGTTTTTTAAGAATGGCGGCGGAGGGCAAGTGGCAAGTGGCAAGTCGGTTATTTTCAGTGCTGCCAACCAGATGAAATTAATAGTCGTGCGCATAATCGAAAATTGCCGTGTTTTTACGAATTTATCGAAATATATGACCATGCCAAATGTGAAATTTATTCATTTCATTTGCATAAAACATTTATTTATGATTTAAAAACATGGCCACGGCTTTAAAATACTGCCGTGGCCACACAATTATTCTTAAAAGCCGTAAAAATGTGTCATTGGCAACACTGGTTTCTTTTCTGAAACCCGAGCGTACGTTTTCTACCCTCCTTTTCAATAGGGTACACTGAGGCTCACTCTAGCGTAAGCTCCGTAAATTTTGGAACGATTGTCACGAGCAAGTAAGCAAACCCAGAGTGAGTTTTAGAACGACTAGAGTAAAATGGAGTATGCCGCGGTAAGGTTTTGGAACGGAACCCAGAGGGCGTATCACTTAGCTTGAATCGCCACCCGGCAAAAGGCAAGTTACAGAAAAAAGAAGAAAGTGACGTTACAATTGTTGACGTTTCAAATTTGAGTTGGACATTGAGGTTAAGATCATAAATTTTTAAAATGGCAAAAAGTCAAAATAATTTACTGGAATTAGATATAGAAAAGTTGTTTGAAGATCGTAATATAGACGAAATAGTTGAAATTGAAAAAAAACTAGATGCAGAAATTGAACGGCAACGAAAAGATTTGAGGTCAATGGTTGGGTGAGTATTCCTTTATTTTAGACAAACATTATTTTATCAATCTTCAAATAAATTGTAGCGATCGTTACAAAGATGTATTGGCTGCTTCAGATGCTATAAAATCAATGAAAGCGATATCACAAGAAATTGTAGATGGTATTGATCACATTACCAGTAATTGTGAAGACCTAACACATAGTATTGCCAATATTGAGAAAAAAACTAATTTTGCAATAGAAAGGTGAATAAAAAGTCTTCATAAAAATGTAAATTATTAAGTAACTTAATATTTTATTTTTAGCAAAAAAATTGAAGAAAGGACAATTATTAGTCAAATTAGACTAGCTATTTTTATAAACGAACAAATTTGGGTTGCTCTTGATGAGGAAAATAATTTAGATGCTGCACAATATTACTTACTAGCTCAACACATACACACAGGTAAGTTATTTATATAATATTGAGTACTGTTTACTAAAGTCATTTGAATAAAACAGGTACAGAACATGTACTGTTTTGGTCCCTACATTGCGGAAATGATTGAAATTCTTCAAGGTTGGGTATATGCAAATTAAAATGAGTCAGTTCAGTGATATCTTTCCATCCAATATAGTTTAGGCATATATCTTGTTACTATACTTACATTAGTTTTCTGTCAAATTTGCAATTAAAATTTTTTTTTTAACAATTTGTCAAAAAATACTTATTTTGACAGATAACTAATTCAGTACCTAGCCAACTTTAATATGGGCTATTTTAAGATTTTAAAAAAGCAGAGTTGAATGTCCTACGACGTTCTTTCCAATTGTAATATTAAAAAAATGTCCATATGGATCTAACTTTATGGAACACACTATACGAGTATATAAAGTACTTAATACTTGTGATAGTTGGAAATAATTTGTTACTACTGCTGAGAAAAACCTTATTTTATTGGAAATTAAAGAACTCAAAAACATATTGTTAATTGTAAATAACGTTTAAAAAGTATATAATCAAACTGAACTTTTCAAAAGGATGTTTTTAAAATTTTGGCATGAAGTATAAAAAAAGAATTAAAAATATGAATGGTATCAGGATTTATACATACAAAGGAAAAACAAGTGGACGATGGATATTTTAAAGTATAATGTGCACTTGTTTAAAAAATATATTCCCTTTTTAATGTAACATTTCATATTTAGTTTATTTTCATTTTTCAGGTCTTAGTCTTTCCAAAAAAGAATATATTAATAAAATACCTCTTCTTCAACATACTAAATCTAATTTACTTGTTTTGAAATCAAAAATATTTCAAAAAATTACCGAAAAATTAGAATCAGTTGAAACATCCGCCCAAGTAAGTACTTAGGTATTGCTTTAGCAAAATACCATCAAAATAAGAATTATTAGTAAATTCAAAAACAAATTTTAATTTTCATAAAATTTTAGGAAACTAGTCAAAACCTGAATGCATTATTTTTGCTAGAGAATCAAGGTAGCAAAGATTTAATTAGCATTTTTATTGAACATCGTAAAACAGCTTTGAATACTGTGATTAATTCTCCATATTCAAGTGTAAGAGCTCAAATATGCTCTATGGTTAAGTGTCTTATGACTACAGTTCGTCTTCTCCATGATTGTTTCATGAGTAAGTACCTATTTATTTTTAAAAATTAATTTTCTTGTATTGGTAATTAAATAACATGAGTTTTGAGTTTCACTATTTTCCAAAATCCTTAATACACACTGTCCACTGTTCTACATGGTCCAAAACTTAAAATGCAACCATCAGATATCAATTTTTTTCCTAATATTAATAATAAAAAAGTTATTCTTCATAAAAAGCCAAGCATGGTCTAAAACCTAAACAACCATCAGCTATCAAATTTTATTAGTCGTATACGAGGATTGTCAAAAAAAAGGTACTTTACTCTTTAGCAAAATTCATATTTTTTGACAAACCTCGTATATGGCTTACAAAAATTGATATCTGATGGTTGCATTTTAAGTTTTGGACAATGCAGAACTTTTTATCAAGAATAAATGTTTTCACAACACCTGTAATAAAAAGGTTTTCCATATGGTTCCAACTTAAGTGGACACACTGTATATTTTTTCTGGAAAACTGAAATACAGGGGTCTTTATTAATTGAGTGCGGATACTTAAGGGTGTGAATCCTTGGGTGATTTTAAGAAGAAAAATTAATATCAACATATGTCTAAAAACTCTTAATTTTTGCGTATTTTTTGTTACAGTTTAAAAATAAAATTATTTTTTTATTATAATTTTCTTTATTTTTATGAACTATTGTACACACCTTTTAATCATTAAGGAGCATTTCTTATTGTGAAAGATTTTAAATTTTTACCAGTGATGTCCGTACGGGGTTTGAATTGAATATTTTTAAAGAAAAAAATGTTACGCCAATGTGTCTTTAAAAACCAAAATTATTTTTGAAATCGTCATTTTTTGGAGCAAATTTTGGCCCATAGACTTAATATTGCACAAAGCACCATTTTCACATAAAAAAATAAAGTTCATTGAAACTGCTTTTGATATTTTGTTGAAATTTGGTAGGCACCCCCCCTGCGTGGAAACATTTTTTTGAGACAAAAATTAGTTTTCTACTTTCACAAATGACGTTCACTTAGGCATTTTCATAAAAATATCTGGAGTGATAAGAAAATTATGATAAATTATTTTTTCTTAAAACTGTAACACCTCAAAAATTAAGAGGTTTACAACACATGTTGATATTAACTTTTCTTTTTAAAATCACCCAAGGATTCACACCCTTAAGTATCGGCACTCAATTAATAAACACCCTGTATACTAATTAATATTAATTCATATTTTATACAATCCAACTAAGAAATGAGCATAAACATACAGTATAACTTCGATAGTCCAGGCAGATATCATTCCGGCATAATATGCCCAGACTACCGAGGTATCCGGATTAAATTTATTTTGAAAATTGATATAAACTCATTTTATCAAAAATTGTGGAGTTTATTATAAAGTTCATCAAAAACCTATGAAAAATGTGTTCTCTTATAGAATGAAAGTACAAAATCTTTAACATGAGTACATAATGTGTGTATCTATATGTTTAATTAATTAGCTGAATATTCCATTTATTTACTAAAATATGAATGTGTTGTGACAGCCCACCTCCGGTACCCCGTTTTTGTTCGTTGTTTTTACTCTCTGAAATGTTATTATTTACCTCACAAGTTTATGTTATTTTGGTTTATACTTGTATTTGGCCTTTTTTCCTCTAGGAGTAAAAATGATCGTCTAGTTAATTAATTGATAATTTATATACCCACATTGTGATAATGTTAATTAAGGTAAACCAGGATTCGATGCAAAGTTTGGTGCAAAATTGATAAATAAAACCAGACAAATTTATATTTAAACTCTTTTATTTTTCATACTTTAAATGTGATGCAATAATTAGCAAAGTATATTACAATTGGTACTATTTACTGAGATCTCGCTTGAGTCCCGATCAAACGCAGACCACGTTCATTTACTATCAAGATATACTTTATTTAGGTTGATTACCAACGGAGTTAACGAACAGCGTCAATTCGCCAGTTGGTTAACTACTGTGTTGATGTTTATATTCTTATTTAGGTTGATGACCAACGGAGTTAACGAACAGCGCCAATTCGCCAGTTGGTTAACTGCTGTCTTGATGTTTATATTCTTATTTAGGTTAATGACCAACGGAGTTAACGAACAGTGCCAATTCGCCAGTTGGTTGCCTTACTATGTTGATATCACATATACTTTGTATCAAACCTAGTAGAACGGGTTGCTTAGCATATAGGTGTCCCTCCTTGAGCTAAAGAAAAGTGTATTCACCAGTTGGTTAACATACTATTAAATTTTACCATCTTGGTTTGTATAATTTATCCAAGATAGCACATCCCTGTATATTTCTAAAATATTGTTTTTTATAATTTCTATTGAAATGACTTAATACAACCCTGTATATTTTTAAATATTGATTATTAAATTTCTATTGAAATAACTTAATACAACCCTGTATATTTCTTAATATTGATTTTTATAATTTCTATTAAAATACTCCAAATTTCACCTATCGAAATCAGATGTTTATCCTAACTGTCTTTTGGGGTGTATGACCTGAAGGCCATGTGGTTTATTTGTTACATTGATAATATTTTGCAAAAAATGTCAAGCCCTCGTTTAAAAGAAACCCCGGTGATATCTCAAAGAAACTTACATACATATTTTGACTCACCATTAAAAATACAGACATTAGATTATGTACTAAATTCATCTAGCGTTGTGACGGCGTCGATTTAGGTACGTCGCAGCGTTGAGTGTCGCCTTGCGTCGAGGCGCCTAGCGTCGTGATGGAGAGGAAAGTATTTAACACGGTACTGCATTAGGCTAGGATAAATATAATGGTAGGAAATACTAAAGTTGTGTTAGAAGTGATAGCGTAGAAAGGCAGGACGTTGGGCGTCGAGACGTTGAGACCTTCGGTTATAGGAGGTATTTTAGAATAGACGTCGTTTAGGAAGAGCGTTTTATGAAAGGTACAGACTATATAACTGAATACAAATAATAAAGTGATTGCTTGAATGTAAAACAATTAAATGAATGCTTGCACATCAAATAATAAAACTGAATGAATCCGAGCTCCTTTGGGTCAGGCTTCTTATAGCAGTGTTAATGGCTTTTTGTGACGTCTCTGTGTATCTTAGTTTCCAGCGAAATACGAATGTGGGTGCAAAGGGGATGGCTGATTTATTACTTGCCTTGAAAATTTTGTGTATCGAAAACAACGTTACTATTCAAACACATTTAAGATAAGTGTGTGAAGTGTTTCTTGGTCTGGGTTCTCAGAAAAGCACGAAAATTGGATCTCTTACAGACAGGGTTATATATATTATTTATTAGGTGTCGTAAATAAGATTTAATTATCTGGGAGATTTTTCGTTAAATGAAGGATTTTGAATTTAATAAGAATGTACTATTATATTTAATAAATGGAATTAATAAATTATTAAGGTACCTAGGTGCGGTAGGTTACAGTGTCTATTTTAGTTTGAACCTTTTTTGATGTAACTATATCGTTTCTTTTTTTTTTTGGCTTTTTCAGGAGCAATACTTCTTCACCGGGGATATTGTTCTCAATCCACCTGATGGTTAATGAAAACGCACTGAGAGCATATGTATGTTTCACCTTCTCTACATTTACATCATACTAAAAATTCTTCTATTGAATTCTAATACTTCTTGGATAAGCTTTTCTTCAGTTAAATCAATGACAGACTCTTCTTCTCCCACATCCCATTTAGATAATGTTTTCCCTGTTCAAGTAATTTTCTGGATCATTTACTCTTAAGGATTAATAATAATTTATTTATTCACAAATAAATAGTATGCAATTTACATTATTACAAAATACAAAATTCAAAAAAGTGAATAAATAACAATGACCCTACGAAACACGAAAGTGTTTGTTTGTAGGTATATATACAAAAAATTAATTTAGAATATAAACAAGATATATACATATAAATTCCACAGTAGATATAAATATAAAAAATACAAAAATATATAAATATAAATGCGACTAGTAACGCTATTTTAAAACATGTTTATATACATAGAAAAACAGAACAATACAAAATTCTTATATCTACAATACGGAGTCAAGAACAGCATTAGATCAATTTTATGTGACAGTATATTATAAAAAGAACAAAAAAATTAAAAATATTAATAATGTTATATATTATTATAAATTATTATGAATAATTATGAATAAGCAGGCAGAATAAAGAGTTTTTTTGCATTTATATATTATTATCTATTAAATCATGTATTAAAAGTCTAGGAAATTCCAGTAAATGTTTTTTTAAAAGTACTTTAAATATTTTAAATCTATTTTCTTCTTTTATGTTAATAGGCAAATAATTGAAAAATTTTGGTCCTAAGAAACTGTAGCTTCTTTGGCCGACAGATTTATGCATAAACGGAACTAGGTATTGACTATTTCCTCTAATATCATATGGTAATATTTATATGTTAATTTATGTTTATTTTTGAACTGTGTTGTGGCAATACTTAAAAATAATAATTGCTTAACGTCAAAAACCTTTGTTTCAGAATAAAGTAAGTGTGTAGAATACCGGGGCTCTTTTTTATAAATTATTTTTAATAGTCGTTTTTGTATAATTTCTATTTTTTGAGGTATGTATTCGCTCCACTTCCCCAAGCAATAATGCCATAGGTAAGGTGAGGCTCAAAAAGTGTATGGTACAATATCCGCAAATGTTGCTCTTCGAGTATATAAGAAACCTGTTTTAATTTTTATACTACACATCTTAGCTTTTTAAGAAATATTTTGATTTTGTCCACTAAGGAGAAAGTCATCCTTATTAGGACTCTTCAGCAATAAATGAAAATTCTCGTCTCCAGTCTCTAATGGAGTGATTAGAACACACACATTTCGATCGAACTCAATTACGGCGGGTCGAGCATGAGTAGATGCGATAGTGGTATCGCCATCTATACTTAGTAAGCAGAATCAAATAACATCTAGTGGATATCCACGATAGTTTGCGTTCGCGCCTAGACTTTGATATATTTAGTGGATGTTCATGGGATATTGAATACACCTTAAAAAAATTAATTTTAAATATCTGAACGGTACTATTAGCCACAATGGCGTTATTTTTTAATAATTTGCTATATAATTACTATTATTTATGGACATTTGCATGTCTATAAATTACATTTCATGGATATAAAATATATATCTACCATGGACTGGACATTCAGTGGATATTGGGATGTTCAGTAGATATCCAAAGGATTTGGTTTGCTGTCTGGGCAGAAAAATATTATTTAAATATATCGTAAAAATAATTGGCCCCAACACTGTACCTTGAGGTACACCACATGTAATTACTTGTTTATCGCTAAAAGAGTCCTCTATTTTAACTTGTTGAGTTCTATTTAAAAGATATGACTTTAAAAGATTTTGTGCGGTACCTCTTATACCCATGTCTTCAAGCGTCTTTAATAGTATATGGTGATCGACGGTATCAAAGGCTTTTGCTAAGTCTAGAAATACACCTATACATGACCTTTTACTATCTACTGCCTTATATATTTTTTGTGTCAATTTTAGAATGGCATCTTGGGTGCTCTTCCCCTCCTGAAAACCGAACTGACATTCGGACATTATTTTTTCCTTATTTACAAAACCAGTTAATCTATTTTTTATAATTTTTTCGAGAATTTTACTAAAATTAGATATTAGTGCTATTGGACGGTAATTTGTCATTTCTGTATTATCTCCATTTTTATAAATCGGTATAATCGTTGACCTTTTAAACAGTGTAGGAAATTCACCCTTATTTAGAGATTTATTGATGATATATGTTAGAGGTTTTATAATAAACGGTATTATGAGTTTTATTAATTCTGATTTTATACCATCGGGGCCAGGAGATTTTTTATTTTTAAGATCTGATATGACGTTGATTACTTCAATTTTTTCAGCGGGAAAAAGAAAAATTGAATTTTGGTTGGTAATAATATTTTCTTTATAATTTTTATCTAGATTGATGTTTTCTGACAGACTTTTACCTATATTTATAAAAAAATCATTAAAATTTTGAGCAATCTTGAATGGATCACTAATTAAATCATTTTCAAGTTTTATTTGCGAAATATGAGAAGTTTTTGATGATTTCAGAATTTCATTAATAGTTTTCCATGTATTTTTTGAATCACTATTTTTCTGTAATCGGTTTTTATAGTAATTTTTCTTAGCATTTTGTATCAGTTTTCGTAGTATATTTTTATAACGAGCATATTCCTCTTTTAACATTTCGTTGTTTTTGTTAGTTTTTAGATTTTTATACATTTTATTTTTTTTATTGACCGATTTTACAAGTGATCCCGTTATCCAGTCTTGCTTTCTAAAGTTTTTGTTATTTACTGATATATGTTTTCCAGGCAATTTAAGCGCATCTTGAATAATATTCATGAATTTGGATACTGCTATGTCAAGTTTGTCGCTAGAAAAAATATCAGACCAATTTGCCATACTAATTATATTTTTAAATTTTGCTTTATCTATTTGCGTTATTATTTTAGATTTGCTTGGAATTTGACTTTTTTTATTTGGAAGGACAATTTGTAATGCAGTTGTGTAATGATCTGTAATACAGGTTTCTATAGTAGTAGATAATATTGTGTCATAATCATTACTTTTACAATTTATAAAAATATGATCTATGCATGTTCCTGATGAGGGCCGTGTTACAGTGTTTATTGCAGAAAGCAAACCATATTCATTAAGAACGGTTAAATAATTTTGAGAATCATTGTCAATTTTTAGAAGATCTATATTCATGTCTCCAATTAACAAATTATACTTATATTTTTCTATATTATGTTTAAGTACATTTTCAAGATCTTCTAGAAACTTATCTATGTTTCGAGATGATGGGGTGGGCGATATTTCACGTCACAGTGATTTTGTCTCTGATATAGTTTTGTCAAAGTGACTAGCTCTCCGTAACTCATAACATAACAATTTTACTACTGGAAACCGTAATAATCCATACTTGAGTGGAAAAACATAATACTGATTCAAACTTCAGGAGTATGTGCCTTGAAAACCAAATGCAGTATGATAGACGCTGCGTCTTAATGTATCGTAAACCTGTTCAAACAGAATAATTCCGTTGTTTTTGCGTATGTAATATTTTCATGCTCTGATTACTGAGGTAAAATTTTTAAAATGCCCGAATAACACTTGTGTCCGGATTACTTGAGTGCCCTTGCTAGCGACTGTCCAAACTATCGAAGTTGACCTGTACCTACAAGTATAATAGGTCTTATTCTTTGCAAAATCGTAACATCTCTTAGATGTATGAATTTTGTAAAATGGGTTAATATTATGTTCAGAAAATCATACTCTTTAGCTAAGATTTATACGGATTCATATTATTTTTATAACTTTGTTTTTAGGTGATCAGAATGGTTACAGAGGTCTAATTTGGCAACAACTACAAGAAATTATTAGTAGTTCAGCGCCTACAACATTATCAAAATTAGATTTACCTGTAACTCCCCTGATATCTTATTTGCCAGATATTATTAAAAAATTTAGGTAAGAAATATGCCCTTGTTATATCTATTTTATAGTTTAATGTGCGATTTCCTAGTGACGTCCAGGCGTTCGCGTCCAGCCGTCTGGCCGTCGGTGACAACATACAACTGTTTTCTTTGAAGCTTATTGACTCGTCTCAACGGCCGAGTCTCGATTGCTCAAAAACATTTGAGACGCTAACGCCGACTCCAGTAGTCACATTTATTTCAGTTTAAAATAAGCATGATGGATATAACTTCAAATTAGCACTTAGATGATTTCGATAATAAAATCATCATCATTCTCTTCTTCCAATAAAATCAATGTTGTTTAAATATTCATTTTGACAACAACCAAATTTTAATTAAATTGCCGTCAATCAGAACACCAAAAACCAAAAATACTGTGTGTAATCTCTAACTACAAAAATGCGGACGCCAGACGCTTCTAGCAAATCCTAAAATTGTTACGGCCTGCCGTTACTGCTGGAAGTCGCGGTAGGTCGCGAACGCTGGACGTTGCTAGGAAAGCCCACCTTTACAGTCTTGAAGTATTTCAGAATCACATAATACAACGACATTATTAAAAAATATAAATTATATTTATTATCCTAAGCCATGATTTGCTAATATTGTATTTTTTTTTGCGTTTAGTTTAGACTTTTCACTGTTTATACAGATTAGAATTCTTTGAACTAGGCATTAGGTACAAAATGGCAAAATTGTAAGTAGCGGACACTATAAAAGCCCTATGGCAATTCATAAACAGCAAGGCTATTGTATTTATAATTTCTAATGGGATGCCATGCTGAACAAAAATATTATTTTAGTATATATCTCTTACCTGGATCAGTTCCTTCATTTCTTTCACACCCAAAGTGTCTACACATTCTATGAACTCTCTTCCATTTCACCCAATCCTACAATATCCGAAAATATAGACAGTTCCTGGTCTAACTAAGGGTGGATATATAATCATTAGTTTTGACATAAAAAAATTTACTGCTTTGATATAAATTGATTTGTGGTTTGATGAATATTTTTATTGACAAAACTATAAAGCAGTTATAAAATAAATTATATAAGTCATAGGTTACCAGATGTAAGAGATTGTTTTTAATTTATTTCTATAATTTTAGACCAACTTGTAAATTTACCAACCAAACTGAAACCTCTTCAAAAAATGCAGAAAATATTCTAAAAGAATGGTTGGAAGCCACTAGAAATACAGTTGAACAAGGATTAGAAAAATCACTTGAATTAATACCAAATGTAAAAGGTCTACACTTAACAAGAGAAGAATCACTCAAAATTGGTAACAAAATCTAAACATTAAAGTCGTTAATTAAAATGCCTAATAATTCTTCTTTTAGAACCACCTGGAAATTGGGAACAAATATGCAAAGAATCGCATTTACCAGAAAATTTTGACATTTGGTACTATTTTTTCCAAAATTTGATCACACTAAGATGTCAAAATTTAATCTCCAAAAAAATGGCATCTAACATGAAGGAAATTCAAAATGAGATGAAACAAATTTTAGAATTGATTACCAAATCTGATAAGTCTGAGGCAGATTTAAGGTGGTACACTTGGAATGAAGACATAGAGGATGTCAGCAAAACTGAAAATACACATTTAGGTAATTAAAATAATATATTTTTATAAAGGCTACAATAGAACCCCCGATTAACCGTGCGCGATTTATTCATGCGGCGAATTTTCGATGCGACATTTTAAATTGATTATCCATGGGCGGATTATCCGTGGCTGGCGGCCACTCAGCATTGATGGTCTCACATTTAATTTTGATACTAGAAAACTTAGAAAAAAATAATAATTTCAATAAAATTTATATTCTAAAATTTCCTTTTTTTGCCGCACTTTACTGTCCTTCTCTGCTCTCTCACATCTTGACTTCTTTCTCATATACCAACTTATAATTGCTTCTACCTTTATCCTGCTATCTGGTCTTTTTTTCTTCAATAATGTGAAATAAATTTTACCTTGTTTCTTTTATCTTTTTATTATTTGACAACTTATTTTTTTATTTTCCTTCTTCCTCAAAACAATATTTTTAACGAAATTGCACAGGTATAATAGGCACTAATAGAATGTGTGTAAGTAGGCATGTTCCAGAGTTACAAACTGTAGCGGAATTCACCAGATGCAGCTGAGGTGTGGTGGTAAGATATTTTTAAGGTAGCTGAATTTATGTCTACCAATATGTGATCATACTCTGTATTTAAGGATTTTTATAAAATCGTTTAAGATATATTAAAATTTGTAAATTTCAGTTAATTTATTCAATTTAAAAAAGCCACTTGGTGACACTGGTATTTTTGTTTGTATCAGTGATAGTAGATGAGACATTTTTGGAGTTTATCAAACTGAATAAAGTTATTTTGTTGTTTCATATTAAGCTTTATTCTTTCAGGACTTTCAATGAAAACCAAAGGATATTCACAGAATATAGTTGAACTATGTGATACATTGGACAAAAAATACCTAGAACTTCTTGAGGATGCATCGCAGTATTTATATGGCAAGGAATATTGTTCTAATTTAAATTACATGGTAGTATTTAAAGATTACAAATTCAAAAGGAAATATATGGATAAAACTGAAATTGCAAACCATATTCAGTTAGAATGTAGCAAAACGTGTGTAGAGTAAGTACACTGCCAATTTCTTAGGATAACATTTTTTCTGTTACCTATAGAATGTATAAAAATTATGTATTTTTTTAGGTTATCAGATTATTGTAGGGGCCTTCTAAATGAAAAATCAGATCATTTTGTCACAAAATCAGTTACATTGGCTAGGTTTCTGCAAGCAATAACACAATTATGTCCACATTTTCATAGGTGCTGTACATTTAGTAATTCAACTGATGATTGGATTAAAATCTGTGATACATTTAACAATACCAGTCAAAATTTGTGGATTAATTGGATAAATCATGTGGTCAATGAAACAAAAAAGCATTGTCAGGAATTGGATGACCTTTCCCTTAAAAAGATGCTCAAAATTTTTATGGCAAGTTTGTTTTTAATTACAGTTTTCTTGTACACTACTTATTGTCTGAAAACGCAAAAGTTTTGTCCGACACAATAACTAAAGAATGTTCAGATCGACCTGCGATTTTTATTTTACTTGATCATTTCTTCCAGCCTTGAACCCTATTGATTTCCAGTATTTTTAGTTTAACTTTAAATGTCAATGTTTGTTTAAAATGCATTACATATTTTACGGAGCTCATTTTATATCATAAGAGGGAAGTAGTATTGTAATCGTGAAAAGTCACCCTTCTACATTATTTTAGATCTTCACGTTTCAAGGTCCGTAGCGTAATTTTCCCCATTCTGTCGGCCTGTCTGTTAAAGCGATAGCTCAAAAATGCTTTAGAGAAACACTTCAAATTTTTTATGCACAAAGGCTCCTTTTAAAAGTTGGCAGACTTTGACTAATTGGTATCCGAGTATTTTAGAAGTCAAAGATAACAGATCCGAAATGAATTTGTTAAATTCAAAATGGTGTTGAAAGGAATCGTATCTAGTCAAAAAATGTCTCCCTTAATTGGAAATAATAAAACCGTCCTTTTGGTTTGTTTATCTGGACCATTTTAAAAGCAGTTAATCATTATCGTTCAATAACGGTAAACGTGACGAAGAACAGCGGACAGGCGCAAACTGAGAGTTTGCGTGGAATCAAGAGAAAGATCGATGGAGAGAGGAAAGTGAATAGGGGCTTTTGGTTTGGTGGTTTTAATTTTAAATTGTTAAAATATAAGTGCTTATTTAATTTATTTATTGCATTTGTACCTATGAAAAAAGATAAAGAAGTTAAATGACAAAAGAGAGAAGACGAAGCATACAGTGTGGAATAGCCAAATGGAATAAAGTCGGTAATAAATAAATGAGGACGTGTTCGGAAAAACGCTCGGACAGGTCGATTAGTATTTTTAGTTGCGCATTTTTTTAACAAAAAATTTTTATATAGGGTGTTTCATGTAACATTGGCCAATACCAACTTTTTTTTTAATGCAACACCTTGTATATTTTGCAATTTTTGGATTCTTTAGAAAATTCTAGACATATTTTAAGTACTATATCCTATACCTAACTGGTATAGAAATATTAAATGTTTTCCGATTTATTGTAAAAATTAACATTAACAAAATAAAATTGTTTGATTACAGAAATTCGCTACAACACACTCAATACTTATTTCCCATTTAGGTCTTGATAATGAGAAAGTAAGCAAAACCATGTCAGCGTTCCTTTTTACTGATATGAAATAAAAAAAAGCTATACTTAAATAGTTTTGTTTACTTTTGTTTAAAACGCCTCACCTTAGCAAATTGTTATCTGATTGCATGACAGTAGTTGTCAGTGTTATAATCATTTGAATTTCCTTAACTGCATGTCAGGAAAATGGTTCATTTAACAGAAATGCGCAAAATAACAAATTTACAGATGATTGGTTTTGGAGATAACACACGGACACAAATGGAAGTTGCTCGCTTATTTCATGAAAAATTTCCAAATTTGCCGCGTATATCCCAAGGGAGAATTAGTAAAATAGAAAAGCAGTTACTCGAGCTTGAACATGTAAGGCAGATAAAAAAACAGCTGCCAATGCAATAACTGATGGATATTGGATTAGATATTATGCTTGAGTTTTAGGAAAATCCACATACTCCTAGTCGACAAGCAGACCCAATGTTTGACATAGTACATAAAGTATGTCTAGAATTTTCTGAAGAATCCAAAAATTGAAAAATATACAGGGTGTTGCATTTAAAATAAGAAAGTTGGTATTGGCCACTGTTACATGACACACCCTGTATAAAAAGCTTTTGGTAAAAAAAATGCGCAACTAAAAATACCAATCGACGTGTCCGAGCGTTTTTGCGAACACGCCCCCATTTATTTATTACATAATTTATTCCATTTGGCCGTTCCACACTGTATAAACTTGGAGAAAAAGAAAGTAAGAGCCAAAAAAGAGAAGAAAAAGCATGTAGAGATACAAAAAAAAACAAAAAGAGAAGACGAAGCATATAAACTAGCAGAAAAATAATGTAAGAGACAAAAAAGAGAAGAAGATGCATCTAGAGTTGTAGAAAAGAGAGAAAGAAAGTAAGAGACAAAAAATAATGAATGAATGAAGAATTTAGAGAACATCAAAAAGAAAAGATTGGGAATAAAAAAGGATGGAACAAGAAGACGATAGTAACCAAGAGAGGGAAAAAAATAATTGATAAAATGGCCAAAACGTCTCTTAGAAACAACGAATTATAAATATGTAACGTACATACTTGGAGGCTCAAAATACTAGGCTTTAAATTCGACTTACCTTGTCTAAATAAACGAGAAAGGTAAAGTTATTATTTGTTGTAAACTAGCGGTATGTGTTGACAATAGTCTTTGCAGTGGCGGCTCGTGCCTTAGCACATAGGTGGAGCCACGGATTAACATTTTCGGGTGCCTAGCCCAGATTTTGACTCGAAGTTGTTAAAGTATATCTTGGGTAATATTTTAAAGTATATTAACGTGCGCATTTATCATTTTTACAAAATAATAACATAAAAAACTTACCAGAATTTAGCTTTGAATAGTAACTGATTTCACTCCAAACCTATACAGTAAAATAAAGAATATTTTACATTGAACGATATTTGAATCGGTCATTTGAGAAACGACACATGTCACATTTTTGACCATTTTGTTTTTATTACAAAAATACAATATTTAAAGGTGAATTATAATTATTGAATTATACCCAAAATAGAGCAAGTTTTAAACGTTAAGTGTACAAAACTATTTTTTTTAACCATGTTTTGAGGTTTTCACTTTTTCTTATTTTTTGAAAAATGATCTACAACTGACATGTGCTGTTTCTCAAATGACCGATTCATTTGAAGTCTAATCTTCGTTCTGTTTTATTAGCGAAAAGGTCAATCACTCGTCTATTAAAGTCGTCAATGTTATTTAGAAACACTTTTTCACCTGATAACATTCCTAGCGCACTTAGTCTTTCTTCTTTCACTGAGATGCGTAAAAAAGTTTTTATCCTCTTTAACGTAAAGAAACATCTTTCAGCTTCGGGTGTTGACATAGGTGTTGTCACTAAAACTTCCAGTAATTTAATAGTTTCTTGAAAAGTGTACTTCATATCTTCCTGCGAAACTAATGATAATAGAGGAATGGCTCCAGAAATGATTTGCAACTCTTCTCTTTCGTAAAGTACTTGCAGTTCTGTTTTTAGACGTTTTTTTTTTCTAGAAATTGATATGCGTTAACTGAATCAGGGAGCAACCGATCAGGGTGCGTATGCTTGAAAACGAGAAAAACTGAAACTCCCCGGGGAATATATTCACTTTATTTTCACTTTCCCAAAAAATTGGTATTCTTGAAATAACGTGAAACCCAAGGGAGGAGAAAGTAGATGGTGAAAGTAAATACAGAGTTGCCAGATCGTTTTAGATAATCCGACCAATTAGAAACTACGAACTTTTGATAACAAATCATTATTCGGATTTAGTTTTGATGAAACAAAATAATGCATAATATAATGGGGCATGTTTTATGAATAATCCGGTCAAAAATAAAGTTACTTTTAAATGGCATTTTAAGTTTTTATTTGTTTTTATCGACAACGGAATTTTGACTTTTTCACGTATAAACATTTTAAAATGCTACTGTTCATTAAAAATAATAACTGTCGTTTTAAATAATTATCAAACTAAAATTTAAAATCTCTTGGCAATAATTCAAGTTTGAATATCCTTCTAAATGTATTTAAAACTCTACGATTGTAGAAGGTATTACTTTCCTAAATAATTAAACATTTTAAAAACATTAGTCAAAGTCCAAACAAATTTAAAAGATGTGAGGGAGTTATTACTGTTGGAAAAGAGGAATATTGTATAGTGTACGGAGATAGTTTTACACTACTACCCCTTTATATTTAAACAAGTTGTTGCTGCATTTTTGTCATTTTGATTAAAATTTATCTGTACTGAATAAAAATTATTCTTATTTTCGCGTCTACATCCATTTTAAAGGGAAAGTAAATACCGTAAAGGTATAAATATACCTGAAAACTACTAACTACATCAATATGTCGTAATTCTGCGCGATCAACTTATTTGGTGTGTCATTAATTAATGGATGAATTTCATTTAAAATGCAACTTGCTATTGAAATGGCATTGTATCGTAGATTTCTTTAGCCACTTCTTCATGGTAAACGCCAAGCATGCAGTCCAATAGTTCGTTCTGTATGGTCTTAGAGGTCCCTTTAAATAGTGTTGCTTTATTGAAATGTTCCTTTAAATCTGCATCTAATTCAGAACTAAAATCTATCAATTCTCGGAACACTCCTTTATTTTTAGATTCTTCGGTTTCATCATGTCCGCGCAATGCTAATTCTAATGCACCACAAAATCTAATACAGTTAATAATGATGTTTAAAATATATGTTTTTATCAACTTGTTTATTGTGGGTAATAATATTGTCTATAAGCCGAATTTAATTGAGTCAGTATATTTGATTTTCCAAGCAAACAAAATCTTTACATGGGCCTTACTGTTTTCATGTGTTTTAATTTTCTCATAAATGTGTACCAAATCAGTTGCACCATGCATCGTCCACGAAGAATCGCCCCTGAACAAAACACACACAAAACAAAAAGATGCGTTTTTTTCATCACATCCACAAATCCAGTTATTTTTTAAGTTTGACGAACGTGAGATGGAATCCTTCTGCGTTTTTGTTATTTCCAAATCGGGAAGAGGTCTTCCAAGTTCCTTTATTTGGATTTTTTCCTCGAGCGAGTGCGTAGAAAGAGGTTTCAGTAACAGATTGCTTATTTTATTCATTTTGCTTCGAACTCTCTGACAATTTTTAATTTATTTTACTTTAAAAACTCAAATATTCTAACTAGCTACCTAACAAACAAAAATTCAGCACGCATAAAATGTCAAAAGCAATACGCCAAACTCGCCGAACACGCGAATGAAACAATACTAT